TTAGTGTTCGGGTGACAGGATCGATAATTGATCGTGTTAAGGGATCGATTAGTGTTCGGGTGACAGGATCGATAATTGATCGTGTTAAGGGATCGCTCAGTAAATGCTTGGTCGGGTTAAAGAATCGATAAATATTCTGTTTACGGAATCGATATGTAGTCTAGTTACGGGATCGATAATAGGTCGTGAAAGGATCGATAATTGATCGGGTAATAAAATCTATGAGTGATTTGGTACCGACATCTATAAATAGTATATAAAACCATAATAAAATTTCAAAACTAGTCTTACTCTTATCTATCAGGTGTTCACGTGATAACACATTAATATTCGACTACCAGCTGGCCCCAGTCCAGCAATTCAGCATCGCGGCCTTCCGCTTCGTCAACAACACACAAAATGAAGTGTACATCCATTGCATGGTGAAAGTCTGTATGAAGTCTGACAATGACTCTGTGTGCGCTGATGGATGCACTGAGCGACAAAACAGCAGCGCCAGCGGATCGAGAAAGCGGAGATCATCATCGGAGTATGCGCAGTCCAAAGACCTCGAGTTTTTAACCTTAGGTCCTCTGCTAGTCGAGAAGCAAAAGCCGGGTAAGAATAGACGATTTTTGAGATGCGCGAGCGCTTTCATAAATATCGCAGGCGCAGCCATAAAAACGAGGCATTGTTGGGCAGTGTTTATAAGAAACCGGGTTTGGAAGTCATCGAGTTATAGGCGATTTCTGAAATCCTTGAAGGAAATTTTTTGTCTAAAGTGAGTTATATATTTTTCAAAAAAATTCTCCTGACGAAGTAAAATGAATTTCAAAGTGTTCCTTCATTAACATGATTTCGCTCTAAAATTTAGCCCTAAAATGTCTCGTTTTCGAATCTTGGCACGCGATATACTTTTGACAGTGCTCGCGCATCTTGGAAAAGATATATTGAAGTTGATTTTGTAGATGTGCGTAGGCTTCTTTCCGTGTTCATACGTTTATCCAATCATGGATATTAAAAGATCTTTAAAGATCCATGGTTCAATGCGCGCGCTTATCCTTGAAGTTATTTTGGGAGATATTGCTTACTATCAATCACGTGACTTTTTGGAGTTGACTGGGGGGCAACTAGCGGATGCTAAGTCAGAACATATCAAAATAAGTCCTCAAACTATTGTATTTGACTATTTTCACGACATGAAACCAGAAAACAAAACAACCAAAAAAACCTCCAAGATTTTGCAAGGCATCAAAAAAGAGCTATTAACGGAAGTGAAGTCTATTGATAGCACAATATACCTTAAAGACAACTCATTTAAAACTGGATCTTTCTCCATGGAATCTTTGATTTCTTTTTCAGAAATCGAGGAAACAAAGAGAGCTGTAATACCAAGTGCTCTAATGATAGGCATTGTAGCTGGGGTGTTAGGGTTGTGCGTCGTGGTACTTACCGTCGCTATAGTAGTCGTACTGATCAAGAAAACACAGCGATTAAAGACTGCAGTGTACTACCAAACTAAATCTCCCAGTAAGTAATAATAATCTAGATAACCAACTTCATATAGACTGGATGTAGGTTAGTATCAAAATGGCTCGCCCTATAAAAGTGAAATGTCTTAACCGTTTAAATTCATGAGAATGCAATAATATTGGTTCTCAAAGGAGATGGAAGGATGAGGGGTGCATGTTGGAGGGAAGATAAATGCGTCGCACAAGAAGGCAGATTTTTCAAGCTAAGCATCAACTTCATGTGTAAATTCACGAATGAATAATAAGAATGAAAAGCGCAAGGTAGTTTTTAGAGATTTCTTTATACTAAGAGAACAAAAACATTTGTTTTTAATATAGGATTGAGTTGAAGGATATTTCTTTGTAAGAGATCAAAAAAAAATTGTTTTTAACATAGGATTGAGTCGAAGGCTGTTCGTTTGTCATTACTATTTCGGCGTAATTGTGTTGCGCATGCGCGCGCAATCTTTTTGACCGATAAACATTGTTGGGGGAGGTATACGGTTACTGAGTTAAGTAGTAATTTAAAAATATTTCTGACAATTAAACCCTATAAAAATATTAAAAATAAATATAGAACTTAATAATTCAAAAATCTTTGCTTTCTGTTAAAATGATTAGAGTGAAGTCATTAAACCCGTGAAATAGATATTAGACTAACACAAAGATATAACTAGCTAAAAACTAGTGTGAGCTGCGTCGGTGTTTCTAATGAAACAGTAATGATGAAATGGTAAATTATACACCGTGAAAAGATGAAAAAACTTACTGACGTTTCGGACGCTAGTCCTTCGTCGGAGTAAAAGAGGTAAAAGCTCTTTTACTCCGACGAAGGACTAGCGTCCGAAACGTCAGTAAGTTTTTTCATCTTTTCACGGTGTATAATTTACCTTTTCATCATTACTGTTAGACTAACACACTTTAGTATACCCTAATTCCATTGTTTTCTTTTGTGTCTATTTGACTATTACACGTTGACTAGCATTTTTTATTTCACTGGTTAATTGCCTTCACTCTATTCTTGGCCCGTGAAACAAGGTTGTATAATTAGTGGCCAACAGTCCAAGTAAAACGAGAGAAAACAATGCCAAAACTACTATGTATTATGCTAGTGTTTTTTTACGGGCCAAGTAAAAACACTGCCTGGAGTTTTTGCACGGGTTTATTGTGTAAACGTTATCTATAAATTAATATCTTTAATTTTAAACTATCGTTAACGAAAGTATTGATGTGTAAATATATCCCATATATATGTATCACAGAATCCATTTGGATTGTTAAGTATATTCTATGTATAAGTACTTACTAATTACGTCATGTATTCAGCTAATAAATGAAGGCCAACCTCCTTTAACGCAGTTTATGTTAGTTGGAAGATGGAGGGTAAAACACTGGGTATTCTGTTACCCCATCCACGAGCAACTTTGTAACTGACAAGAAAATATAACCTGTCGTGCGCGCTTAACGTACAATCGACACGGGCCTTAAAAATTGACCAATCACATTGCGCGCTTCTTCGTGTTAGTTTGTACTCATAGTATTTTTTTTCCAGTAAATCTCTTACGCCTTTTCGATACATATCAGTAGGTATATTCATATACCCCATAGTTACGGACCAATCACATTGCGCGCTTCTTCGTGTTGGCTCATAGCACATATAATAGTTTTTTTTTCCAATAAATCTTTTACGTCGTTTCAATACATATCAGTAGGTATATTCATATACCCCATAGTTACGGACCAATCACATTGCGCGCTTCTTCGTGTTAGTTTGTACATATAGTAGTTTTTTCCAATAAATCTTTTGCGCCTTTTCGATACATATCAGTAGGTATATTCATATACCCCATAGTTACGGACCAATCACGGTGCGCACGTGTTCACCTCTTCCTTGAAGGTATTTTTAGTTCATCTTCAGTTAACAAATCTCAAAGCATATTTTGGTGGAAGTCAAAGTTTATTAGCCCAAATTGTTTCTAATACAAAAAAGTCTAAAACGTTTATCTTAACCTTATAACAATTCCACTTAATCTTAAGCTTAATCTATAAAAAAGATATAAAAACTACGATAGAAAATGGGAGAAAATGAAGAATAAATCAAGAAGTATAAATCAAAAAAGGATTTGGAAGTATCCTTCTGGGTAAGGGTAAAAGTACAGTGGTTGGGTCAAGGGGATAGACGTTTCATTTGGACAGCATAGTACAGCTCAAGTTAAAATAAAAAAATGTAAATGCTAAAAAACTTATTACAACTACCGTGAAACAAACTCACAAAAAAAAAGACTTTAAAAACACTAAGAAAAAGGTTAAAAACGTTAACCTGAAACTCATGCTTCTTCTTGTACGAGGAGTTTAGCGCCATTAGTATGGCTCTTCTTGCGCTTGTATATAATGACAATGGCAACTGCAAGGCAGACGACCAAGAAACCTAGCACTCCTGCAACAATGGTAACCATGGTGATCATGCTACCGCTGGATGCAGTTTGAGCCGAGCCTGCAGGACAAAGGAAAGAGATGGTCAGTAAAGTAAATCCTTTGATGTAAGCTGGAGGGATTGTTTCCAAGATGGGATATATAGCTATTACTCGCTTCACTTCTGGGGTCTCAGGCGAGATTCCTGGACTTAACATCTCAAGCGAGTAGGGTTTGTTTGTCTTTCTCCAAATTCTACTTTTTTCGTGCCTCCACAAAATTTAACGAGCTAAATTCCACTCAAGTCTTTGAGTTAGCCGCGCCCTGACTTAGATCAGCTTAATAGCGGAATAATGGACACGAGTGAAAAACGTCTGCGCATGCTCTGAATCCGTATGCAAATTAGTCAAAACATAAGTATATTTGACTTTCAAACATGCCTGATAAATTGGACTTCACAAAATGCCAAAACTGTCCATGCTTGCTCAAACTCTTCAAAATTCTTAGAAAACGTGCTGAAGTGCACGCATGCGCAAAGCTACTTACTTCTCTGCCTTTCCCTCAGTTTGATTGGTCCAAGAGTCAAGTCTTGATCAATGTCACGCACTAATGTTGCAGCACGACGACGACGGTTGCTTCCACCGCTGCTGGTCTTGCATCCCAGGGCGCACCGGGAGTCAGACTCTCCGAATGGACAGGCTACCACTTTACAGTGAAGGTAGACGTTATCGTAGTTTGGTAAGAACCTGAAGGCAGCGAGACTGAAGCGTTGAACTCCGCCTTCCTTCTTTTTGTACTTGAGGGTATCATCCTGGCTACAGCTAAAAGAAAAGAATCAAATATCATATTATATTCTTGTTCGGTCAGTTTCTGGGCATCACACGAAACATACACACTATATAGACGGCGGAACGACTTTAAAAGTGTGTGCGTGCGCGCGTGTATAGTGCAGTTTTCATATGACTGTGAAAAGCTCAGTGCTGTGCCGTGACCGTGATGTTTTCTAGAATTTTAATTGGTTGATGTTTTTCTCGCGCAATGTGCCGTGACTTTGGCGTGACCGTGTCCGCGCCGTGTTTATGCCGTGTTCTGGGTATTTGATTGGATGGAGAGTGAATTCTCGTGCAATGTGATTGGTCTGGCGTATCTCTAGCCATGTCAAGAACGTGTTCGTGCCGTGAGCTTTTCACAGTCATGCAAAAACTGCTCTAATGTGTGTTTGTGTCAAAATTGTGGAATAGCTAACAACGTTTTTCCCAATTTTATCTGTGAGCTACCGTGCCCTGAGTTAGATCAGCCCAGAGGTTGTTCCAGGGTTTGATAGGATTTTTTCATGGGGTATTTTGTTACCTTTCATTGATGAAGACATATTGTGGTTTGTCATCATATCCTTCAGTAGGGGTAGCATGACACATGACGGGTATAACTGCCAGGTCAGATCCGTTAACAGTTACTTCAATATTCATAGCAGTACCTATGCCTATGTCAGCAGGGTACTCGTGCTTCTCCTTGTACTCGTCAGTCTTGTACATGTCCATGGTAAAGGTGAAGTTACCAAAGCTTTCTGAAACATGATAAATTGAGGCAGTCAGTGGAATTATTCAATCATTCCTTCCTTTTATCATCCTTTTTATTTATTCATTCAGTTGAGTGAATTCGTAAGTCAGTCGGTCGGTCGGTCGGTCATTTACCTAGTCGTCTACGAGACAGCCAGTCTCGTTTGTCTTTGTATTTGGTAGTTGTATTGTTGGCAAACATCTTGCCAAAGATGTTTGATACTGACCTGTTTTAGTAAAGATGGCGGCTCTCCTTGGAGTGAAGGCCTTCCTACTCACAACAACCTTCCTCAAATACGAACACTGGAATGGCATCTCGGCGGTATGTTCACGGGTGATCAGAGTATTGGTGGTGGGAGCAACCAAGTCACCGGTGATGGCGTTATAATACACGAGGTAGTTCCCATCACTGCTGGCGTTGCTGGTCGTGCCACACCCATCCAGGGGAGCGCGGAAGATGATGAAATCGTCATTCACTTCGGTAGATTTGCAGCTTTCGTCCTTGAGGTGTAAGTTGCCGGTGTCGAGGTTGCTCAGTTCTTTTCTGTCGATCTTTGCTTCCATGTAGTCTGCTGTGCACTTCATGCTAATATCTGGCAATGGAAATAGAAAAGATATCAAATAATATAAACACGCAAATGAGTGTTACATCCGATTTCCAAACACCGTGAACAAGTGAGTTCAAAGAGAGAAAAAAAAAGAAAAAAAGGTAAACACTTTTTCAAGTGCTTGATATTACTTCTCAAACTATTAATAATGCTTGGAGAAATTCAAAGCATAAGTTGCCCAAATTTAATACTTCAAACTTACTTCACGCTAGCGATTTTTTTTGTTTCGTGCTCATGAAGTATCAATGAGTGGGAAGTGCATGGCTTTGTACCATCACGTGATGGCAGCCATGACAGGAGGCAGGAACAATTGAATCTGGTCTTATCTGATTTACATGAGAAAGTATTCAAATTCCCAGGGGAAAAGGTTCTATTGTTGTGCCTCCTGTCATGGCGGCCATCACGTGATGATGGAAAGCCTCTATAGTCAAGACTTGAATTCTGGAATTTTGATTTCCTATAACTTTTCATCTCTTATATGTAGTTAAGAAGCCATTTAGCGGCATTGGCTATCATGACACGTGACAAGAACCCGCATATGTCACGTGACGATGTCCGCCATATTGGATATTCAAAATGCAGGCATATCCATGCACAACTGACATATCTTCATACACGTTCGAGTATCGTACCTATTTGTATTTATTTACAAACTTCCCTTATCATGAAACGCCTGAAATGGCTCGTGATTTGTTAAAAATGGCGGGAAGCGACCACGTGACCCGTACATTACTTATAAGCCAATACAAGACGCCCTGGTTAGAGTGAGGAGAAGCGACCAATAACATTGAGATTTACTCACGTGATTTGCTTGATGTGGTTGGAGCAGGTGGAGCAGAAGTCGTCGCATTATCTGGTAATAAAAGGCGAGAGTCAATACTGTATAGAGGTACACTGTATAGAGGTACAGAGGGAAAACCTGTGTAAAGCGGGCAACAGACCGATCCAAAGACATGTCCGATTTATACAGGACTCTAATCATAAAATAAAACATTCTCTATTCGAGACAATTACTTTATTGCCGTCTCTGTTTAAGACAACTTTATAAAGCGATTGATCGTTTGGAACACAACGACGAGAGGCATGGCGAAGAAGAAACAAGAAACAGACGAGAAAAAGACTTGAAAAACACGAAGACAATAAATAGAAATCGGGGGCGAGTAAAGTGAGATTTTTCACTCAGTTCGACAGAACATTTAAAAAAAACATAAATGAGTAATGATTAGTGGAACTAGTTCTAGATACCGCAATGAGAAATAACGTCTTACAGCGTGGGCTTCCTGCATCTTAATCTTCCCAGAGGTTTAAGAACTTATTCGCCCATCGTTTTTATCTAAATTGGGCTTCCTGTGGTTAGAAGCAGTTTTACGATGTAGCCCAGACAAATACACAGACAGACATTGAGTGACTCGACAGTAATATCGCAAAGGGGTGTATGTAAGACTTTGATTAAATATCCGGCATATGTTTCGTAATGGGTCTCTTGACCTTAGGGATGAACCATTAGATAATTGATTGGGGGGTTGCAGGAATTTTGGTTGCATTATATTTATTTTTCTGGCTTAAACCTTGCACGTTATTCTTTTGCGTACAGTTAGATATTTTTCTTTTAGTAGAAGAGGTCGCACAATATTTTTTTAGTAATTTTTAGTAATTTAAAAAAAAAAAATCTCTCTTTTCAATCCAAGGTTTCAGTACTAGCTCAAATTTAACAAATTGATTTAAAACATTTTTTCCGCGAAATATAGTGTTTTTTGTAATGAGCAACAAATTTTAGTTGCTTTTGAAACTTGTGCAAATTTTGGCCACGTTTCTATCGAAGTTAGTCCTGGCAAACAGGCGTCAAAAAGCTATGAAATAACAAATATATTTTTGATATATTTATTCAGTGACTGGTTATATTGGTGCAATAGCTCTGTCTTGTGATGTCTAAGCTCTCTTAAATATAATTTAATGACTTCTTGATGAGCTTTGAGTCAAAATCTTGCTTTTCTTGCCCACTGGCCTTCTACAATGACCATGAATAATTATACTATTATCGCTTGGGAAGTTTGGGAGGCTTCTTAACAGTTTGTTTAGCAGAAAATGTTTGTTTAGTTTCATTGCTGTATAAGTATTTAATTTTATTCTTAGCACCAGAACAAGGAGTCTTTGTTTATTGTCTAGCCTGGTTTCACGGCTAAGTGAGTTTTGTGTTTACAGTTGATTTACAGTCCCAAAGAACTAACCACTGTGGTTAATAAATTTAATACGAGACATGACAGTAATTCTTTGTCCATCTTCTCCACGAGGTCTAAAAAGCTCTATATTTTAAAGAATAACAACATGCTCGTAAACAAATTTCAAACACTGTCCAAATTCAACTTCTATGGATTATTTCTAACTCTCTAGTAGAATTATTAAGAAAACACTTGCACGCCTGCCTCATATTGAAATATTTTTTAAATTAACTAACGCCGAAAGGTCATCATCTATTATAATTGGTTTTCTGAATAAATATTTATAAAAGAAAGATCTCGTAGCGTGGTCCTTGATAAGTTAAGTATGTGGCTTATATCTCGCACCGTTTAGGATGGTTTAGGTAATGGAGAAAAAAAGCTCAAAATAGAGAATACACAAATTATGAGTATTAAGATTAATTTTTTGGATCAAAAATTATTAGTATTAAGATTATTTTTTGGTCAAAAACCTCAATCGGGAAAAGTTACAGTTCACTTTATACGTCTCTTAAGCATTTTTTCTTTTCTGTTAGCTTGCGTTTCGCAAATCAAACATTTACCTAAACTCAATTGGAACGACTAAATCTAAATTAATTTGCATACTCCTCGCTGTGCCTATTAATATCATTAGCGATCCCTCGTGGTCGGCGAAGAAGAAAAGACATCGTAGCTTGAACCCCCGTAGGAGAGAGGGAGGTTACGGTGTTTGATCATGCGTTATCAAGCCATCGTCCCACCTCACCACATGGCTCTAATATTGTTTTAGTCTATGGTAGAACACTACATAATGGGCTATTGTGTCTTATTTGTCTCTACATTATTTTTCCTAAATGAAGTGCCCAAAATGAGGTTGAAATGAGGCTGAATTTTTTTCTGGTCTTCAAGTGTTTCACCTAGGAGTTTATCCAATCTTACAGCAAAACTCTTGAGATAATCTTTAATTCGAGGTTAAAGGTTGCAAATAAATTTGGCAAAAATTTAAACATTATACAAATAGTCTCTAAATTACTCGAAAAATATCTTAGGCAAAAATACTAGTCCTTAAAATCTTAACACTAAACGCTCAGGAAGTGTGGATCAGTTAAGATTTTTTTATCTACACGGGTTTTGCAACGAAGTGAAAAAACCGACCTCATATAGCCCCAGTCAACCAAATAGGAAAATTAATCGCCATGCGCTTGAAAGACATGAGACGAAATATAGATTCCGAATACAATACTCATCCAAGATAAGATCAAAGACATCTTTAGTTAAGTTGAAAACAAATATTTTTGGTCGTAGAATGGAATCCGGCGTGACATAGTTTAGCTTCGGAATGTCATATCTTTTTGTCACGTACACGACAGAGATTGAAACATTAAAAATTCAATATGATAGATTGTTTTTTTCAGAAATATTATTTCCTTCACCGGAAATAATTTCTTGTTAAAACGCGATTTGTTATGGCACAGTTCTTGTATATAATTTCTGCACGACGTGGCCAGAAAGTAACTCCTCTACGAGCGAGTAGCGTTACTGCAGGGCGCTTTCCTGCGAATTTTTGCGTCAGAATTAGATTGCTCAAAAACATCAAGCTGTTTTTGTTGTTAACCCATCCCGCGCTAACCTTAGAACATGAAGAATAGTCCCAATAGATGGCAGTTTATTTTAGGGTTGCATATGCGAGGTATATTTAATCTCGATTGCTTTGGAAAGAACAACACGATTCACTAAACAAAATCCTCATTTCAGCTCACGGTTCACCCACATAAAATAAATCTTTGGTAAAATAATTTGGGTTAAGAAAAACCACAATTATAAATTGTGAAAATTTTCTTTAAGACTACGTCCTTTGAGCGTACGAGTAAGTAATGGTGATCTTAAGCCGGGTACTTTAAGGATTTAATAGAGAAAGAACTAAATGTCCTTCCACGAGAACCTTGTGTTGTCTGACTTACCTTGAGAGTAAACACAGGAGAAAAATAGAAGAAAAACTAAGAAACAGCACAATGGAGAGGACTTCATTCTTGCTGGTAATTCTTTCGTTTAGCTAAAAGGAATCTATTTTTCACTCGACAGATGTAGTGTTCAGAGAGCGGGAGTTACGCCGTCTAAGGTTCAATCGGTACGAGACAACCTAATCGTCTGCAAAGTTCAACACCCGGTCTGAATAGTGATTCCTTAAGCGTCATGCTTGACCTAAACTACCCCTAGATCATTAGCATATACGAGATTACAATACTGCTTGATTTGCAAACGCGCCATAATATCTACAAGTTAATTCAACAATAAAGAGAAAAATAGTCCAGTATAGTAATTTCCAGAAGAAATAAATTTTGAATTTCATTTTATATAGTCATTTAGCTAAATGATAGGGTTTGTAGATCTTTTTGGATTGGGTGCCAGCCAATCAAGCTTGACGAACATGATGCGATATTCCCAAATCTATTGCTATGGGGGTATGCATTACCCTCCCACACTACACATTCAAGACCCAAATTGAACTGAAATATAGCGTACAGAGGTGATGTGGTTTGGAGGTGAAGTAGTAGTACCAGAATCATTTGATGCAGCCAACTCCCAAAATTTGTGGAGATCAAAGTTCATGTTAAACACGCCATTTGTCAGGCTGCAGGCGACAATCCTGTCATGCTGCTTATTTAAATCATTTGGATGTCTTGATGACAGAGTAAGAGTAAGCATCTTAATGTCAAACATTACGATTTGAGATTGTGTAGAAGTTGATTTCATGTTTTCGAACAAACATGATTTTTGAATGTTGTTGATGATGGTGATGGTGATGATAATGCCGGATGGTGCTGGTGATGATTATGATAATGGTGATGATGACGATCATAATGAAGATAGTGATAATGGTGATGATGGTCATGTTGATCATGATGATGATGGCAATGATGATGAAGATGTTGATGGTTTTAATGTTGGCAATGATGATGAATACTGAATCGAGACGAGACCCTTCCCCCTCCCCCTTATAATCATTACCCCTGAGATGTTGGCTGATGAGAAACCGCAACTGACGCAAGTCAGGCATCTCGTGCACCATATCGTAAAGAGGCGGGCGTAGGTTTCAAAAGTTGATCAAATAATTTGATACAAAGTATTTGATGGAATTTAGTGACCAAAATTACTCAAAAACTTAAACGTTTTGACAAAGTTACGTTGTTTATGTCTTCTGGAAATTAAAGGATCAAGTAGAAACTACACAAGCCAAGCATTAGCTTGTTAAGCCAGACGTAATTAGTGTCGCTCGAAAATCTGTAGTGCGAGATGGCGCCAAGAAGCCGTTATTCTATTTCGCACGACTGACCTCAGCTTGACAAATATTAACGAGATTTTGAAGACATCTATTCATTAAGATACCAAGAGATAAAACCTTTATTTTCTAACAGTTGCACATACATTTGACAAAGAAATAATTTATACATCTGTCAAAATTGTTTTTAGTAAATTAAAGTGTTAGACTGCATTAATTAGATTTTTGGAGCACGACAAATCGAACCGACATGTCGAAAGATACCGAGTCAAACTAAATGACCAATGATAACTGAGTTTAGGCTTCGATTTGACGTAAGGAACAATTCCAAGTTGAGTCGGCATTGCAGTGCAATGTGGGATTGTCTTAGGGGACGAAATATAGACACCCTCTTGAATAAATCTCTCGAAAAACAGTCCCACAATCCATTGCAATGCCAACTCGACCCATTCTTTTCATCATCCTCGGAATGGCTGATAGAAACATGGCGAAGACAACAACAAAGAAAAAAGGAAAACAGAAAAGAGAAACAATAGTTGAGGGAAAATGGATTAAAATATTGATTCCAAGAGATACAGATAAAAATGCTCATCTGAAAAACATCTGAAGATATTTACCTCTCTTCTAACAGCCATGACTTCGCTTCAAAGTGTAAACTTGAAATTACAAAATTAGAAATTTATCTTTAAAAGATTACAAAAAATAGTCCTAGGTACACTTCTTTTATTTTCACTTAAACTAGAAGAAAACTATCCTGGTTTAAAACAAGATCGAAGCCACTCAATTATCATCTACGATCAAAGATAGCTTTTTTGGGCGACGTTGATGTTTAACGACCACAAAGATGACAGCGACCACAAGCAGCATAACGATGAAGCCGAGTACACCGATCAGCACCTCGACGATCATCGTGCGGCTTTCGGGTGACGACGGCCTGCCGGAACTTGCACCTGCATCGCAAAAAGAAAAAAGATGAGAGATTTGTTAGGATGATTGGTGCCAAGCAATAGAATAGATTGATAGCACTTGACGAGGAGGGTTTGCCCTTGACTGAAGGCTGATAATCACATTCATTTTGCTGATGGTCCATATCTAACTATCTTACCGCGATCCCTGATCTCCAGAGGCCCCACCATAAGCGTTCCACTAATGTCCTCACTCTCCACACCCTCGCTTCTTCTGCGTCTCTTGCTGTAAGGACATCCCTCCACGCATCGAGACTTCTTGTCAGCTCTACGGCACACGCGCACCTTACAGTGAAGATGGATAGTGGCTTCGCGATCTGCCTCGAAGTAGAAAGCATTGAAGCTGAACCTCTGGAATGGTGATAGTTTGTGGTTGTACTTCAGGGTTTCGTCACGCTCGCATCTGAGAGGATAATTAACACACAGTATACGTAAGTTTGATCGCCAAGAATTTACCAAAGAATGCGGAGATGACCTCAATTCAGAGGGGGAGGGGTGGGGTTATATTGGTAACCATCACCATCTGTAAGTTGAATCCTTGATTTTGTACTCAAATATCTCTGAAACGTCAGCGATTATGATTAACGAGTGTTTTAAGAAATGCATGTTAAATAGCGCTTTCGAAAGGGTTTAGTCTGCGCGTGTAAACTCAAAGGCTTTCCCCAGTTCGCGCGCAATTCAACACCTCATCACAGGGCTCTCATACTTACCCCTTTTCAATGATTACATAAAACTCCTTGTCGTTTATGTCTTTCGAAGGCGTGACTTTGCAATTCTCTACCAGAAGAACTAAATCAGTATCGTTTGCTACCACTTTGGTCTGGAAGTAAACGCGCTGGTTCGCCAACACGGTGACAGGATATTTGTCGTGGGCCTCGTCGTACTTCTCGCTTTTGAACATTTCCATTTCGTACGTAAAGTTACCAAAATTCTCTGCAAGAAAGACGTCAAAACTTCAATATATAAAGGCTAGAGAAAAGAAGACTTTGCTCCAGGGCTGCTCAGTCGTTGATTACGAAACCCGTGAATGACCAAGGGGAACTGGGTCGAGAGCGTTTCGAGGGGGAGGGGGAGGGGGTAGGGGCAACCGCAGACCGCCGATTAACGCAGGCTACAATGTGCTTGAATATATAAACTAATTATACCTATTCTATCTTACCTGTTCTGGTGTAAACCTTTGCCCTGGCTGGTGTGAAATGCACCACAGACATCACGACACTCCGGTGATATTTACATTCGAACACAAACGCCGCTTCGTGATCTCGCGTAATGACGCTACTCTCTCCCTTAGAAAGAGCTTTCTTTTGGATCAAGATCTCGTTATGATAGATGATGTAGCGACCATCAGAGCTGTAGTTGTGAGTGGTACCACACTCGTCCAGCGCTGTTCGGATGAACACATGCGTAGCGTTGGTGTGAGAGGCCTTGCAAGAGCTGTCTGAAAGTGTGGCAGATTGATGTTGAAGTTCTGGGTACTTCGTGATATTCAGGACGATTTCAATCTCGTCTTTTTTGCAGTTGACTTGAAATGGTTTTACTGGAGCTGAAACTTAAAACGATGGAGAGTCATCAGTTTAACCTTTTCAATATCCCAACAAGAGTTTATGAACTGGTTAGCGTTCTCCTTATGACTACGTACGTGAGTTTTACAAGCGATCGATGATACTTTTACAAAACTTCAAAACTTAATTCAACTGTCAGGGTATAACTTTTAACTGCGCAGATTAAAGAGTTTTGTCGTTACACGTCGTAACACGTTGTTTTAGAGGGCAACACGAGTTATACAATTATGTTTGGTAAACGAAGTTGTTTTTGATTGACCCACCTTTTTTCGGTGCAGTTGTTGGAGGTGGAGTCGTAGTCACTGTTTTCCTCTCTATAAAGAGTAGGGAGGAAAATAATGGTAAGATAAAACGGTAATTTTTACAGTTCTGTGTTGTGGGTTTAAAAGTTGTACTAATCCTGGATTAAGTCTTCTGGATTGGCACTAAACAGGCTTGAAAAGGTGTCCTCTTCATCAATATTTGTTCATTTATTTACCCATTCATTCCTTGATCTTTTCTAATGTAATCAATAACTAACAATTTTTTCTTCACGCACTCACTCATCCCTTTTTTTCATTCTTCCTTCCATTCATCCAACCATCCTTAGTTCCTAAATTACACTATCCCTTCATTCTTTTACAACTCCCGTCCATTTTCCCATCGTTCCTTCCTTCTTTTCTCCCTTTCTTCCTTCCTTCCATCCATCCATAACGGTCTTCACGTACCAAACAAGATATTTCCATTCCTGTCGAATCCCACGTTACGGTCATCTTCCAGTTGGGAACAGCTCTTTTGATCAACACACGTTCCTGGGTCTGTCAAAAAGAAAAAGCGTATTGCGTCATTGGCATAACCTTATGTCAATCACTCCAACGATAACAAAGCTGGACCTCAGATATTATGACGTAATCAAGAGGGACGTCATCAGTTCTGAAGATGTCAGTGACGTCAAATCAGCGCAAATGACACAAATGTTAATAATATGTTCTAGTTTGAGGAAAAGACTGGCTCGAGTTGGCATCGCAGTGCATCGTGGGACTGTTTAAGATGATTTCCAAGATGGCGGCTATTTCGTACCTTAAAACCGTCCCAAAATGCAATGGAAATCCAACTCGACCCAGTGTTTGACTCCACCTCGGAATGGCTCATACACACCTAATCCCTTGTAGTACGCCAGAAAGCCAGGATATATTTGATCATTCTTGTACGTAGCGAATTTGTAGAAACCTACATTAGTGGTACTGGCAATGTTATTGGGTAGCTTACATCCGCAAAAGTATCTACCGGCAGTTGCTGAACCTTGAAAATTGTGGCGCAAAACATAGTCTGAGCAGTAACCATCCTTCTTGTCCCCTATGCCAAACATCTTGAAGGACGAGAAAATTCTCTTTCCTGAAGGAACAGAGGCCTCCCAGCTACATTGTACTTGTTTTGACAAGGAGTCGGGGAACTCCTGATGAGCTATGTAACCAGAATCGCCACTCACTCGGGATAACGGTGAACAAGTTCGTTCTGAAAAACAATAATTGTTTACAGTTATGAGTCAAGTGGCAGGAATCTTACTAGAGAAAAAATGACTGGAGGAAACCAAGAACAAATTCTAATTCGATCTCAAAGTTAGCTATGCTCTGACTTAGATCAGCCCAAAGGTTGTTTCAGGATTCAATCTGTGAGTTATCCATGCCCTGACTTAGATCAGCCCAGAGGTTGTTTCAGGGTTCTATCTGTGAGTTATCCATGCCCTGACTTAGATCAGTCCAGAGGTTGTTTCAGGGTTCTATCTGTAAGTTAGCCATGCTCTGACTTAGATCAGTCCAGTGGTTGTTTCAGGGTTTGATCACTGTGAGTTAGCCATGCCCTGACTTAGATCAGCCCAAAGGTTGTTTCAGGATTCAATCTGTGAGTTAGCCATGCCCTGACTTAAATCAACCCAGAGGTTGTTCCTGGGTTTGATCTGTAAGTTAGCCATGCCCTGACTTAGATCACCCCAGAGGTTGTTTCAGGGTTTGATGTGTGAGTTAGCCATATATGTTTAAGATATGTTTAAATAAACAAATGAATTCAAAACATCTTACCAACTTTCCCGGCCGATTCGACTTTACCTAAAAAAAAAAGAAGCTTAGTCGGGAAGTTGAGCGCAACGATTCCTGTTTCACACCACGAGGCATTCTTGCTTGCAGGAAGCCTCAACTAAAACACACCCATAGTACTTACTCTTTTTCACGATTTTAAAAGTAAGTTTAAACCCCTTGTCTTCGCCAGCCGCGTTTGACTTGAAATGTACCAGCATGTTTGAACCAGTAGAAAACAGTGGCAGCTTCCCATCCATGCAGTTAGAATATCTGAGCAAAATCAATAAAGTTATTACCTACAAGTGCCATCTCGTACCCAGAGCCTGCGTATCTTCTGGCCTGTGGCGAAGAACGTGGGCTCTGGAATGACCCATTTTTGGCGCATGCGTAGTTTTCCGGAAGTGAATATAATCAATGAAAATTATGCTTTCAAACAGAGTTCTGTGTTTATTTTCGATCAAAAATAAAATTTAGAAATCAGGACTATGTAAAAAAAATTTTTTGGCAAGTCTTAACGCATGCGCTCTTATACCGGAAGTCCAAGAAATTCTGGTCTCGCCGAAGGGCTCTGGGTACGAGATTGCAGCAAGTGCGACTCTTTTTCGTCATTTCCACATTTGGCAGCCTGGTAACCAAGCATTTTAATTGAAGGCCTGGAATGCATTTGGGTTCAATAAACATACATATATAAGGAAGAGACAAAGATAGGATTGTTATTTCAAAATATACTGTATTTTTTATGTTCTCTGGAAAGAAAATTGGACCGGGTAAACGTAACCGAGCATTTTATTCAAAGGCCTGGTTACAATATATAAAGCGGTCAGCAGTTGCACTATAGAAAATAGGTTTGTGATAAAAATGAATAAATCGGCAAAATATTTTCCCTACTAACTGTCCAATCCTATTTCCAGGAAAAGCTGTTTCACCATCAGAGAAAGTCAACGTATCTCCATTTGCGAGGTTAAGGTTGGTTATTGTCACTCTGATGAGGTTCCCCAGAGGAGCTTTGATTTTCCAGGTACAGTCCCTATTTGCTGGATACGCTGTTGGAAAGTTAGGGCTATAGATCTCCCCTGGCTTAGTTCCAGTTATCTCCACCTCCCAGTTTCCTTCTCCACAGTCTAACGGGCCTGAAATGACGAAAAAATTATCGATAAGCTCATTTTTTAAATATTTTTTTCCTTATTTTGATACATTTGGATGGATCTTCTAGTATAGGCCAGGAAAACACACAAAGCCCTAGTTTGAGCTAGAGTTAAAAACTAGTTTGAGCTTAGCTGCTGTAATTCCATGTTGTTGAATTAAATGAATTTATGTTTTAACTTCACCACACTTTTAACACTTATGTACTCGCATTCTTCTCGAGAAGTTATTGCGCATTTTTCACGCAGTTTTTGCGTTCTTCTCACGTTCTTCTCGCACTGTTAACGCTATTTTTATCTCGTGACGTCCTTTCGCAGTCAGTTCACGCATGTCTAGAGCTTTATTCACGCTGTTTCACGTTATTTACAAACAATATCCAAACATTGAATAAACTTTCTTTCGCACAGCCTCTCGTCGTAAATAACTTTTGGGTAGTAGAGTTACATACGAATCTTTATCAAGTGCAGTCATAACTTGTGACGGCTGACCGCTCTTTGACATTTCTATCTCGGCAAAACTAGGCGTGACTCGTATCATAATAATATATAATACCTTCATAATAAGTTCTTATATAAAAATCTTAAAGAAACAGCAATAATATACACTATTGAGCCTTCTTGAGTTGAAGATTTTGTTTGTGACAGAGAAAAAGAACAAGCTGAGGTGGCAACCATATCTCTATTTGAGGTTTATTAGTATTCGGTTCTATCAAGAGTCTAGTCTAGCCTGGTCTTTTTATGCTTGCCTTAATGACATTCCTAGACAGCTCAGTTCAGCTTCGTAAATTAATCCACAACCTCAAAAAACCTTGGTCATTAATGAATTATTTAAAGTGTATATGACACGAAAACATTCCATCATTTAAAATGTATAGTTTGTTA